AAATATTATTAATGTGTACACGTGTTTGAAATATCTATCTGCACAAGGGAGATACATGACAATCATCTATTAAGAGGTATTTTCAAGCTGGTTACTTCCCCTATATTATGGTCGCTTTTAAGCGCTTAAGCACAAGGGGGCTATCCTGAAAAATGCTGTTTTGAAAAAAATCTCGGAAAAGGTAATAATACAAATTTAAAAAAAAAATAAAAAAACGCCCTTCGTTCTCTTACCTATATATCCTGTTAGTCTTGGTGAGTATGGCGGCGTAGACAAAGCACAGGGACACACCCAGGCCCAGTCTCCGCACGGCGCAGGTGAGCGGGGAGGGGCGGGCGAGCATGGCCACGGACGTGCAATAAGACAGGGCGATGCCGAAGAGTAGGATGTAGCACAGTTCCCTGCCGGACGCCATGATGATTGGGGTGCGGTTGAAGACCAGGAACACGCCAAACACGAAGATTGTGCACAGAACTGGGTGGACGAAAACATAGATAATATTATCTACATGTCACAACGCAGTGGAATCAGGCGCTCGATAATTTTTGGGGATCTGGAGTTATTTGTATCATTTTAAAATGGTGAAATGGTATGGGTATAACACCCCTATCAACCGTGTATCATTTTAAAGCTTGTTCATTTGATCATTTTTTTTTATAAACATAAAATACACGCTTATCTTGAAGAGAAGTCGAGATATTTGTAATCAAAGGAGGTCGGGGTTGCCTGGTTCAAGAGGTGAAATTAGCGAGAAAATGGCCGCCAACGTTTGGTGATTTTCAAAGCTTGAGAGTTCGTTGGAACTGAAAATTTACATTTGTTGTTCCTTTGATCAATGTTTCTCAGTTTTTTCCAGTAAAATCCACACAGAAATATGTTTTTGAATGAACATAAAAGGTGTTGAGAGAAAAAAAAAAGAACCAACCAAAAATTAGAAAAAAAAAATTGTTAGACTGTAGGGAAAAATGTCGATATCTTCGATTTCATTATTTTGACGAGCGCTTCATTTCACCAGGATGCCTCACATATCATTATTGTTTAACATGTGTAACAAAAATTTTGAATTTCAAAGTAAACAGGCCGATTTTGTTAGTATCGATGATGTTTTTTCATGAAGTATAATGATGTATTGTGAAAGAAATGCCAAAACCTAACAATCCGTACTGGAGGCCCAAAACTCAATTTTCATGAGCCATCCCTCTTAGCCATTAAAAGTGACGAAGTTAAAAATCATGTATGGTACCCATATTTATTAATACTGATCCCCCCCCCCCCCCCCCCCCCACACACACACTTTAAAAAAAGATTTTAAGATACACAATGGGAACTTTTTTCAGTATCTCGGTCTTTTTGTTGAGATGTTATTTCCCTCTCGGTCCCGTGTAGGCTCTGACAGATAGAGTTGGAAGCCCGCCTCATAATTGATAATCTAAACTGTGTCAAATGGCGTGTAGAAACACCTGCATTAAAATGATAATGATAATAATAATTTGAGCTTGCTTCTTGGCCCATCGAATTATCGTGACGCGCACGGTATGTCGTACTCACCTCCTGCTAGAGAAAAAGCAACTGGTAGAACGAACCAGACACTCGCTGGCACCAAGGTCACGATAGGTAACCTCTCACACCCGGTCAAGGTCGCGTTTGGGCGAGAATCTGTAGGGCAGGCGACGCACTTGGTTTCATTGGGAAGATATTCGTTTTCCTGTCGAAAAGAAATCGTTCAAAATCATGAATAAAATACGAAAAGATCAGATAAGATGAGAAAAATTCTGTTGATCCAGGAGGGAAATATTGGGTGGATATACCAGACCATCAACATACAAAGATTCAGTACCAACGCAGAAAAGCTTTCAGTACATTCGTGTTCAATGATACATATGTGACGATGCCACTTAAAGCATCCACAAAGACCTTTAAAAAAAAAACCACACAAAACCATCCAGATTTCATAAATTTGAGGGGTTGACACTATTCCTTTGACAATTAAGATCAAAACTTTATGTACTTTTTACTTTACTTTTTACTTTTTCCTTCCTCTGGTATCTTTAGGATGTCGAGGGGAGATGAAAGTTTCGTTCCTCTGCTAGGTGTGTAGCGTCAATGATAGATATTTTATGTTGTTCCAGGACCTTTTTAACCCCACCCAGCCAGGTCTTACTTCGTCTAAAACATTAAGTGACTGCACTAAAACAAGAAGGCTTACAGTCATAAACCTACGTGCTGTAAGATTATAGTTCGTGTTAGATGAACACGGGCGGTTCAAAACGTTCTCTGGCGTTGGTGATGGGATTATAATTATGCTTTGTTCTTTGCGCAAAATACATAAATTCGACTTCCCAGGTCGGGAAGATGTCTTATTTAGCAGCTCTGTCTTCATGGATTGGCCCTGAGAGGCAAGGCCGAAGCAGTTCGACATCTTCTTTATCTAAATCGGCTCAACGAGGACACCCAACATATGGATCATTTGGTGTTTGTCGAATACACAGTAACCTTTAAAAAAGGTGACCCGGTTGTTAAGAAACCTTCTGACATTATTATAGTACTAACTGCTGGCGGGATCACGTAAGAAATTATAATTGGTAATCAATGTAAGTCTGGCGATGCTTAACGATTCCCATACTACTTTATAAGACCAGTTTGAAAAAATGCCATTGAAAAAAGGAGGGGGGGGGGAGGGGGGGAGGGAAAGAAAAAAGAAGAGAAGATAAAAACGTTTCTTTTTCATTTCTTAGAAAGGATTTGCTGAAAATTGTATTCGACTCATTATACTCAACATTTTCTACGCATTGAATTGTATACAGTGTTATTGCTTGCCATTAAGATAATTTCACACAATGATTACCGTCTTTTAATATTTGTATTCATCAGCTTTATCCTGCTCCACCTTCCCACCTACGCTCTTTTCCTTAATCAATAGCATCGTGATCATCCTCCCTACGCAGATCTGAACTCACTTTCCTTCCATTTCTTTTTTTTTTGCCCTTGGTCTCTGAATGTTAATCTTTAACGAGAAGACATCCTAGTGTCATGGGACTCAGTCTTATCTTCCGTTTTTCACACGTTGTCCGCGGTAATCCCTAAAATACATACGTTTCAATTACGGGGGTTTTTCATAATGTTTTATAAGAATCAAAAATGTCCGGCCGCATTTGTCGTTGTGTGACCTTTGCTCAAGATATTGCGCAACAACTGGCAAAAACCAAGTGTATTACTGTTTTTTTTTCTGCCTAAAATTGTTTCTCTTTGTTATGTTCTTATGTGGAAATAATATGGTTTATTTTCGATTTCACGTAAGAATACTTAATTGAAAACAGAGCTCTTTTCCTCTCTCCATCTTTTTCTCCTTCTCTCTCACTCTCTCCCTCTCTCTCCCTCTCCCTCCTCCCTCTCCACCTCTCTCTCTCT